CATGGGAATAAGCGCTCTTGACAGGATTGTAGCTAATGAGCTTCCTCGGCTAATCGCGATTGATTTCATTTACATGACATTTACCTCTCAGTTCAATCATAGGGCATGGTTGTCATGGTGGCGCTCCCACACCTTATTGAACTTACACAGGGATCATTATTTCCCCAATTGATTGCCTGGGATTTAACTTGTGTCATCTACGTTTGTTGGCATACGGTCAGGCTGTTGATCACACAGGCCCCGTCTGCTTTCCACACAACTCTGGTATCGATGTCAGTGGGTGTGCTGCCATTATGCATGCGACCCAATTGTCCGAGGCTGAGGCCCAACGTCCATCATAGCGCCACGCTCTCGCCAGGACATGCAGTCCCAGCATAATTGATTTCCTATTACGGTGTGACTCTGGCCGCCTCTTTAAACACACGTTCTGTGATGTACGTGGCATCCCAAATACATGGCTCAAACGTGCAAAGAGGAGCAGAGAGTTAAAAAGGCTGCAGTGCCATCTAGTGGGATAATCTGGGAACTACAGGCTGTACTTAGACAAATCTAACAGCACATGTAACTGGAAAAAACTTGATAGTTCTGTACACAAGGGATCATTGCATTTTAATACAAAATAATTTACTCATGAATTTGGGATAGAAAATAGTTTCATATCGAGATTAACTGATAAACTTGCACTGCAACAAAAGGACATACATACAACTTGATATTAAACAGCCAATCACTCACATTCAATTCCTCCTGTCTAAGGAATAGTGCAGGTGTTTCATCACTAAAATCAACCACACTGGGCTTTTAAAAGAGTTGATTATTGCGATCACTGTGGGAGCTGTAAATCTGAATTATTTATTATATATAGATTATTACAAAATCAACTGAATAAAATGAAAAAATATAAAATAACTGACTACATGTAATTGCACATTTCATTAGGTTGGAGTTACAGCAGATCCATAAGAGAGTGAATCATTTGTTAATTAAAACCAATTAGAATGATTGAGTCAATTGACTGAACTTTTTCAATACCTGATTATTGTTTAAGGAATTATTTGTTATTGAAAAATGGCAAACATTTGTTTTGAGGATTCTGTTTGTTGTCAATTGAAATGATAATGTTTTGATTTTGGATTGTTGGTTAGACACAACAAGACATTAAAGACGTCACGTTGGGCTCTTCGATATTAGGAAACTCAAGTTATTAGTTGAAATGAATACAATTAAAAAAGTATAATTTTATTGTAAAAGTTACATTTAGTTTTAAATCCTAAATTACATTGTGAACCCTACCTGTAGCCTAAGTGAAATTCAAAAACTAATTAAATATAAAACAACAAAAAGATACTATTTATTTTGTTTGGAATACTGATGCTATCTCAAAATATATATTTTGTATGTATCTTCATAGAAGGTTTGTAGACAGGTTAAGTATTTAAATGGCTCCCTTCCTCAATAGCATAATAATAAACACTAAATCCGTAATGTTAACTTTGTGGACATACTATGCTATGACTTTTTTGAAAAAATAAATGTTAAGTATTTTTGAATTCATGATATTTTTAACCTACTATACTTTGTTTTTAGTAGAAATGTAATTTTGGTTAATATCCTTAAGTGGGATATATGCACATATAAATAGCTCTTATATTTACCTGGTCCTCTCTTGTCCCAGCCGCACACCATGGTTCCCATGCTGAGGCCCATGCCCTTGTACTGGTACACCATGTTGGCGAGCAGCTTGGAGGCGGCTGCCACAGAGATGCGCTCCTTGTTGCGGAGCTCGTAGATTCGGCACTGGCGGGCCAGCAGGCGCTCCCAGAAGCTACAGTCTGCGGCTCCTCCAGCCATGGTGCCCAGCAGGTAGGGGTTGATCTCGATCACCTTCTTCACGGTCTGCGAGGCGATGTAGGCGCCCGCTGTGGCCCTGGAGTCCACCGCCACGATGACGCCATGCTGGAACTGAGAGCAAACAGCAGGGGGAACACATTAATGAAGCACAGCAGGAGGGGAACACACACATAGAGCAATCACTGATGGATCATTGTGTACTAGGGCTGGACGATATCGTGTCGTGACGATAATCGCGATATGCGCGATGTCACATCGCAGGATGTGCGATTTAAAAAATACCAATTGTATAGCGTTCAAGAAAGGATGGTTTGCAGGGGAAAAACTGTATTTTCTTCAATTCCTGTATGTTTTCATATCGCAGGGGGGGGGGGAGGTCGCAATGTCAGTTTTTTCCAATATCGTGCAGCCCTATTGTGTACAGTTTAATTAACAATAGAGTGGTGCAGGAATGAGTCCTAAAACCCAGAAATAAGTTAGCGTTTGATTCTGATTCCCTAGTGGTTACGTTTAGAAAAAATGTGGGATGTGTTTTTGGTTAGACGCCTGAAATAAAGGTTTAAAATTGTTACACAACATAAAGTAGGTCAATAAATGTCCCACTCCTGAAGCTTCCATGTGTCATGAAAATGGTGGTTGCTACCATCTAGTGACTAAATGAGACTACTTAACATCACACCAAACACGAGTCCCCCTTTAACTGAGCGGTGGAGACATGACATCCTGCAACTATGATGGAGTACATTTAAAGCCTAACGTTAGCTTTCAGGCTATTTCATTTGAGGTGAGGATTATCCTGCTGAACAAAACGTGTAAGTATCATGAATGTGCACCACTCGATTAGCTTATTCCAGACAAAGCAGATATGTGATGCTGTTGTCAGAGATACAATATAAGGCTCTGCCAGAAAGTCACTGAATAAGATGGAAGACCTTTGCTCGCCCCTCTAAAACCCTCTAGCACTGAAGTGAAGACAACACATTTGGGAAATGTCTCCCGGGGAGGTTTTCATCTACTGGCACTCAGGGATTAAGGGATAAAGTTGGCGTTATTTTATCTTTCCTTTTTATCAACAAATCCCCTGAAGAGACCAAAACCTACTGCAGGGAGTTGGTTCAGTATTTACAGTGTCTGCTTGTGAGCCTGACGGAGTGGAAAAAGCTGGCTGCTTTCCGTGCAATAAAAGCATAATCACACAAATGCAGTAGTATGGCTCTTTGTGTTGTGGTCTTTATACCTTTTTGGCAACAATGGTGATTTGTGGGCCTAAAAGCAGCTCATATTAGCCGTTATCTTGTTAGTAGCATGAATTCATTATTGGTTCTGCCGTTTTCAAAGGACTTTTTGATGATGTTACAAAATAATAGTTTCCAGCTATTCTTACAGTGGAAAGTAAACACATCTGGTATCACTTTAATTATTTTATAATAAGCCTTCCTTAAATATTCATTGCAATAGTGATTCTTTTCTCAACATTTTTCATAAACCAAATATTGTTTACACTTGCATCTTGAAGTTGGACTATTTCAAAAGCATGCATTACTCCTCCACTTGCATGTATGCCTGGTTCTGAAATCATATGGATATCATCTGGTATGAAGAATGATGGAAACTCAAAGTTGGGATACGGGTTAAAAAAAAACTGCATTTACAGAATAGTACATTCAATTTACAAATAATAAAAGTGAGAAAATAATTGTGATAAAACATGTGGTATGCTTTTCTCTTTCCTGCGATAAATGAATATCTTACTGTAAAAATATGTAAAATACATATTACTAATAAATACGTTAATTACGTATATAAAATCGTTCGGTGTACAGTTAAATATCATGGAATATTAAGGTTGAAAACAAATGATTGACAGCTTTTTATTATATTTCATGTTATTTCGCAATACAGAAAGAAAGCACAAAAACGTTGATAACCAATTGAAGGTCATATTTATGTTATGAAATCTTACTGTATTTATCTAGTTGAACCAGACAGAAGCCATGTGTGGATGCTGCACAACTGTCATCTTGTTTCCCATTCATGCAGATGCAAATACAGCTAAATAGCTAGTCTTGTGAAACCTATCAAATAAATAACTGCCATGGCTACACACAAAAATGATAAATCTACGTATAGCTACTTGCTTTTGGAGCAAGAAAAGTCCAACAGAAATCATCACAAAGCTAACGTCATTTGAACATCTGCAATGAGATAGCGGTTTGTAGCCGTGCTAGCATGCTAACCGTCGGAGATGTGTGTGAGATTAGTGTTACGTTAACGCTCAATCATGATGTTTACACCTTGAATGACGTAACAAATACTTATTTTTGACAACTATACTATATGTTAGCGTTGTACGATACCAGCCAACTACAATTAGCAACTAATTAACTTACTTTAAATGCTAAGGTGGTGGTTCCATGCAGGAACTCTATTTTCCTCTCGATGCCATCCTCGTCCACGGCACACAGCGGGTTTCTGACGGAGAAACTCAGACCGTCTCCCGGCGTAGCGTCAAATCCAAGACCGCTCTGTCCGGGTGCACAACCGAAACTATCAGGTTCACAATTATCAAAAGAAAATTTCGCACAATCACTGCTCAACACACTTGCGAGAGCCATCTTTGAAACTGTGTGATGAACCAGCAACTTCCGCCGGGTAACATTTATTAAGTCATGCTGAGGAAATAACACAGCGCCCCCTGTATGTGTGGCGGGCTGTACCGATGTAGCCAATAGGTGACATAAAGATAATTAACTCAAACAACACAAACATTAACAAAAAATAACATTTCAAGGTTAAGCAATTTTATAATAGCAACTATGCTTGATTATATGAGTTAGGAACTAAATATGTATGTCAGAAAAGTAGATTAATTCCAGAAAAACACAATTTCTATACACTTTAGCCTTGGGCTGTGCAAAATATCGATATTATATCAATATCCTGATATGAGACTGAATATGTTCTTGCATAAGCATAGATTGTAATTTTGAAGAATGCTTTAAAGTAAAGTGAGGTAATTTTCAAAAATTACCAGACATGTAGCTTGTTGTTGGGTAATGTTGTGAAATTGTCCTGAAATGTTGTAAAATTAGATTTTCTCATAACCCAGCCCTACATTAGCCTCCCATGACACCCCCCCATTTTTTTCTTTATCCCAAAGCATCCAATACAGTCACTCTTTTTCTTTCCCCCACTGTCTTCGTTCTCCTCTCCATGTCTCTATAATATTCCTCTTTCAGCTCCTCTCTCTTTCTTCGGCTCCATCCCTGGGCTGTGATGTGGAACAGGTCCACATTGTTTCCTGAGTAGGCGTCCCTGTGAGTGGCTCTGAACACTGCTTCTCTTGCCAAGGAGACAGCTTCTTCTTTGCTCAGGTTCCACCTCAGCCTTCCATCCAGGACTCCATAAGCGTAGGGAGAGCCTGAGCCCACAGAAAAAACGTCCCCCTGCAGTCGGGCACCATCGCTGCACACATAAATCAGCTTTGGGCCCCTGTTAGGGGATGAAGGATACGCCATTGCAGAAACATCTTGGCTACTAAAACCAGCAGAGGAGCTATTGTCAGTAATAAAGGATGAGTCAGTGTTGCCTGCTTCTTTATCCCAGCCACACAGTGTAAGAGCCACACACACATCAGTCCCTTTAAAGGGGTGAAGCATGAATGAGAGGAGCTTGGCAGTGCCACATATTGAAAGGCAACGCCTGTGCCGGAGTTGGTAGAGTCTGATCTCTCTGGCCAGAATTCGCTCCCACAGCATGCAGTCTGCACCACTCCCAGAGGAGGTGACTACTAAATGGGAGTGAATAGGGGTAATTTTGTGAACAGCTGGACAGGCAACCAATCCCCCGGCACTGGCACGTGTGTCTGCAGCTGCGATGACCCCACCTTGGAAGATGAAACCCAAGGTTGTTGTTCCATGAGACAGAGGGAAAGGCCTGCGGACCGTCACTGAATGTTTGGATGGTGAAAAATGGGATGTAGATCTGTGGTTGAAAGGGGCAGAGTTCGGCAAAGATGGTATAAAGAATTGCAGCGGGATCCCACTGTCTCTCCCAGATTTCTTCAGTCCCCTAAATTCTGCGCTGTAACAGTCGAAAGAGGTGGCTGTGTCCTCAAAATGAGAGGCAGGAAAGCACTTGCGATGCAAAGGAGTGTCTTGGAAACCACAGATATCTTCCAATGCCATAACTTAAAAATTAGGAAAATACAGATAGATTTCTTGATAAATTAATCAGATTGTCTTTCCCAGAGACAGGCGGCCAAAATTATTATTTACAACAAGATTAAAGCAGAGTCCATCTATAAAAAACTGGTCAAACAAGATCAGAAACCTTTTTTGTTGTAATGTATCCCACCTAGACTCACTCTCATCTAACGCAAAGTCTGAAAGACCTTGGGTTTTCCCTTTTTATAGACCTCCCAAATATGACACCTTGCTCAAAAATACGTAAGACCTATCTTCAAAACCATTCGAGTTGACATAAGTGATATTTTATCCCACCATGCTGTGAAAGTAATATCCAGGGAAGCCTTTTTCTGCACACCTACGTTTTGCAGAATAACAGTCATCTTGTTAGATGTGTGTGCAAGTTTCGAACATATCTCTTTCATCATTTTCAGTTTGCAGTTAAAAAAAGGCACCAACCACCAGCATCAGCAAAATCTTCTGAAAAGCCTGCTTTTTATACTGCGACCTGTGGAGTATAACATATTGCCCTATACTCAACCTGCTTTGCCTGAGGGCCACTTTTCCAGGGGCCGGTTAAAAGTCTATTTTGATGCTTTTTGAAAATATATTTGCTATGGGCAATTTATAAAGCAATTTATGAAATTGAATATCCTCTCCCTACAAATACAACGTTTGTTATTTAGAGGATAGGCCTATGCCTAATTCAGCTTATAATATCAATCTGACAAAATATTGTATTATTACTAAATGTGACAGTTACTATATTTAACTGTATTAGAAAACGAAATACGAGCAGGATATTTCTGTAGAAAGACCATTAATAAATGGACACAGGCTTTGACATGAACAGCAACAGTTAAATTCAAGGTTAATAAACTATAGAGCAGTTATCGCGATCTTTTACGAGAAATGTAACTGTCCTACGTGCACAGCCATTGTGGGTCTACATCCATCTTGCTACCCAATGAGTATTTACGTCTGTGCAGATCCAAGATGGCGTCAGTTTCCTCGTAGGATAGAGCAACTAGGCCCCAGCAGAATCCTTTCACTCTGCGAAAACCATGGCGTGTGGCAGTACCGGGAGCAGGGTGTCCTGCGGGAGAGATTTGAATTGTGTGCCGGAGGTAGCTGACACCTTAGCTGCGGTTGCCAAACTAGGGTAAGGACAATGCTGTGCTTTGCAAATCATTTGTAAGTGCAAGTTAGTTTTAGTGGAGTGACCTGTGGTCTGCTGGCACTGTGCCGTGTACGGGTTTGCTAGCATCATGCCTGTGCGTGATGCTTGCTAAGCTAGCCGGTGAATTACCAACACGTGCCCAATCACAATGATGCTTCCTATTGTTGGGAAGTGTTTATAATATCCATATAGGCCTGCCTGATAGTATTGTGTGAGCTGGCTGGAGGATATGTGACTAAACTGTTTAGCATGTCACCTCTACTTGTAGTTATAAAGCATTCCGATGTTAAAACGCTGTTCTTTCTTTGCTGCGCAGGTTTGACTTCCTGTGCATGCCCCTGTTCCACTCGAGGTTCAAGAGAGAGTTTGAGTTGGAGCCCGCTAAAACCCGATCCGGTGCCCATACCCGGTCTGATCCTGCTGCTGTGTGGCAGAGGTTAGTGCTTCTTCCTTCTCATTTTCTATAACGCCATGCGTGATTAGTCATTTACCTATTCTACACGCTTTACAAATAACATAAATACTGTACACCAATGTATGCTGCTGTGCGAGGCCCATGATGGATTGGGATTTTTTTTGGAAAATAAGAACACAAAGCTGGGTGTTTCAAACAAACACGCCTCCTAAAGTCATAGATAGTCTTTAAAACAATAGTATGAAAACCTATATTACAATAAAGAGACAAAATCCTATAGTGCTACTGCAAAATACTTTCACATTGTATGGAAAGTGAAAACCAATGGAGGTTTTTGAGCTTTCTTTGTCTAAATACATGTTGCAGACCCTTCTTGAATGAAAAGAAGAAAAACGTTCCCACTCAAAAAATCATAATTTGAAAATGTATTTGGAATAGATACATAATATTTTAAAAAGTCAACAAATGTATTTCGTCTATTAAATCTATGACATGACCTGGGAAATCTTGGTTTTTCTCCATGCAATGTCAGAGCTAGACATTATAATTATTTTACCGTAATTATCTTAATATAATTGTTCATAAAGCAGACCAAGTATTTAGTATTGAAGACAGTCACGGTAGATCACAGTTGTATGAAATAAAATAAGCCAAGATGCAATAATGATGTAAAGTAACATTAGTACATTTTTCATCTGTTACTTTAATATATATTTTATTTAATAATGTTATTATTGAGATATTATTTGAGTCAAGTGATTCATAAGAAACTCTAATCAGTTTTCAGTTGATGCTATGTTAAACTTTCCATTTTGCTTTATCTAGATTGGAATACTCTTATTGTTGGAAAGCTCTCTCAATGGATCGATCCAGATGCAGAAGTCGAGGCCGAGCGAAGAAACTCAGAAGCGGTAAGTTCCTTATCTTGGTCCATTCCGTATGTGGATTTTTAATAGGGCTGCATGATTTTGCAAGAAATAACTAATTGGGAATGTTCTGACTATTATTGCAATTGCAGTAAATGCTACAGCACCACAACACTTTATACAGAATCATATTTTCACATATTCTGACACAAATATTGCCCTTAGAAATATTGAGACTGCGATAACATTTCGAATGGCAGCCATAAGGTTGATAGTTAAAAAGGATTCTTTGACCTCAAGCTTTATTTATATATATATATTTTATCTCCTTTATTTAACCAGGTAAAAGACTCATTGAGATTAAAATCTCTTTTCCAAGAGTGACCTGGCCAAGAAGGGCAGCCTGAACAAAGTTACAACAAGATTTTCTATTGGTGAACTTATCTTGTCCAGTCTTTCCTCTCAACCCCGTTTTGCTCTTGTCATGAAATGTCTTTTCGCTTTGTTTTTATCCAAAGCAACTTGCATACAATTCAAAGTATTTTGCATATTGACAGTCAATGTCCATTTCCCCCCTGAGCCACAAATGCCCCGTCATGCTCTCATCCTTCTTCTCCCCTGTGTTTCTCTCAGGCTCTGACACAGGAGTTAAACTTCTCCGCCTACCTGGGTCTGCCTGTCTTCATGCTCCACCTGAAGGGCCCTCACTGTGCCAATCTAGCCCGCCTGCTGCTAAACCACATCCACACTGGACACCACACCTCAAATGTAAGGCAGCATTAAACATCTCGACACTCACATTTAGATTTCTTAAAAGCTAAATTCATCTTCTAACTGTTGTACTCCTCTGATGTAGTTCTGGATACGTGTCCCGCTGATGGCGCCAGAGGACACGCGGGAGGACGTGATTGAGAACGAACCGGGCCCTTGCGTCGATGACACAGGTGTTGACGAGAAGACCTGGGGCTGGTGAGTTTCACACCCACTCTCAGCATCTGTCTGCATGCTCAAATAGCCGCTATTAATTTCCTTTTTGAAATCGTGACTCATTTTGTTTACTCGCCTCTGCTCCCTTTAGGTGGCACTCATTTAGAACCCTTTGTGATTACAACAAGAGGATCTGTCTCGGTAAGAGCGCACAATGTGAAGCACCAGCTTGGGGCAAAGTCAGTGCATTAAGAAATAATTATGATCACGTCTGCTACTGAAATCTACTCCCCTCTTTTTTTGGTATTCCTGAAGCTATTGAAGTCGGAGCAGACATGCCGTCAGAAGCTGTGATCGATAAGTGGCTCGGGGAACCAATCAAAGCGGCCATTCTCCCCACCAGCATCTTCCTAACCAATAAGAAGGGCTTCCCTGTTCTGTCGAAAGCCCATCAGCAGATAATCTTCAGTCTTTTCAAGGTATAACACCACAGATTCAAGTGGAATTAATCACAAGACAAATTGGGAAGTGTTATAATAAAACAAAATCAATTTTTTTCTTAGTTGGAGGCCCAGTTCGTGTTCACCGGCACCAGCCGCCACACTGAGAAGGACTTCCGCTCCTACCTGCAGTACCTGGAATACCTCAACCAGAACCGTCCTGCCCCTAATTCATATGAGCTCTTTGCCAAAGGCTATGAAGACTACCTGCAGTCCCCCCTCCAGGTAAGGAAGTGCTCATCTCATTGAAAAATGGTTATTTTTTAACCCTTGATGATATACACTAACAGTATTTGTTTCTCTCTGTAGCCACTCATGGACAACCTGGAGTCTCAGACATATGAGGTGTTTGAGAAGGATCCTATTAAATACTCTCAGTACCAACAGGTAGGACCTTAAAGTCAGCCATTCAAATCACACGCACTCTACTTTGTATATGTAATTCGGCAACATAATCTACACTCTTGGTTTGTAAAAACTCATTTTAGGTAGCAGGCTTATTGTGTAACATTGGATTGATAACATACTTAAGAAACAGTCTAGATGGTGGCACGGTTATAATAGTTAATTTAACCATGCTTAAACTAATTGAATGTCCTATCCAGTCAATGTTTGCATTTGTAAGTGAAGGAAGATCTTATATGACAATGTTTCTCTTGTGTAGAATTCTCACACCACTGAAATGTCTTTGTTTGTGTGACGTTATGCTCAGACGAGACCCACAACATGTGGTTTTTTCCTTGTGTCTACAGGCTGTATATAAGTGTCTGCTTGACAGAGTTCCAGAGGAGCAGAAAGACACAAACGTTCAGTGAGTATCTGTACCAAAACAAACAATTACAATATAGTGATTTGATTGTCAAATTGCTGCTATTTTTACATTTGCAACCAATAGACTCTCCCACTGAAAAAGCGTTGGGCTTTAAATGGGTCTAAAACATTTCAAATTGGTTTGAAAGAAAGCCAAACACTGGACACAATTGATATACCGAATTTGACCACTAGGTGTCACGCTTGGCTTAGCAGTCAGCATTACTTTTTTCCCCTGTTGCCTTGTCTGTTTTCTTGGAATGTTCCATGATGGTGGCAAGCACGGACACAGCTGTCCAGCGCTTTTTAGTTTAAGTTCTGTAAGACTAACTCAGCCATTTCTGGTCGTGTCATTCAAAGAAAAATATTAACTTTCTGAAAAACAAACACAATCTATGCATCTTCTCAACTCTACTGAAATGTCATCTCTTTCATGTGGACGACCTCTTCAGCTCGGCTGTAAATTGCAGCCTGACGCTAGCAGTTCCGGTTATCCATTTACCGACAAACTCAATATTATTTTTATCATATCATATTGCGTTGTTAGGGCGGTGACGCTGCTGACAGAGGTTTCTGAAGTAGCTAATTCTTTTTTATTTGCCAGGACATGTCTAAAAGGTCCCATGTCATGCTTTTCTGGTTATTACCCGTCCCCTTGTGTGTTATTTAGCTTTTTCTGCATGTAAACGGTCTGCAGAGTCACAAACCCTCAAAGTACACCCTGTAGCGAGTAAAACTCTTAACACAGAAAATACCTGTCTGCTGCCCCAGAATGCCTCGTTGGACATTTTTCTTTTTCCATATTTTTCTTCCTGAGTGCAGTGACGTGACCATACCCAGGTCCAAATGGACCAATCCGTGGAGCTCCTCACACACACACTGCCTTATATTTTCTCAGCCGTGCTACTCCGCGGAGTTTTGCCGGCACACACCTTATCTTTTATCAGCCTCGGCTCTGTGGATCTCCACTCACAGTTCGCCACACACTCACGTGTGTGTGCGCTCAGGCTGAGTTCCGTGATGTCTCGCAGACCCCACGCAGCAACCAGGAAACGACACCAGTAATCCAGCTCACACTGTCCGCTTCTCGAGTGGAGCTGTGAGCCCAGCTACGTCCCGCCAACACGGCACCCAGACCCCACGCAGCATTCTCATCTGTTTCATTACTGGTGTCATTTTCTGGTTGCAAACAAACGCCATTGTAACCAGTGTTGGGACTAACGCATTACAAAGTAACGCGTTACTGTAACGCCGTTATTTTTGGCAGTAACTAGTACTCTAACACATTACTTTTTTAATTCAGTAACGCAGTTACCGTTACTACATGGTGCGTTACTCCGTTAGTTTTTTTTTTATATAGTCAACAGCCAGGCGAACAGAGATGAGTAAATGTACTTAGATACTTCCTGTGTCACATGCGGAGACGGGCTGTGGGCGTGTTTGTGTTGTTTACTAACAAGACTATCATGGCGGCGGCGGAGCTCAAGTCTAGTTTCTCCACCTGGAGATATTCTCACTATTTCACTTTTGTCGAGCACAAAGAAAAGAACGTTTTAGTTAAATGTAAGTTGTGTCTTGGCGGGTCAAAGATCCTATCTACTGCCCAAACCAGTAATTCAAATCTCTTAAAACATCTGCAAAAACAACATGCTGGGACGAAGCTAGTAGCTAAGACCACAGAGACTCAGCCGACGCCACTCCACCTCCACCTAAGCAACAGCGGCTGGATTTTAACCAAGGGACTGCTAGCCAGGGAAAAGTCGATAAAGCCATTGCACGGTATGTTGTAGAACACATGCAGGCTATTGCTACAGTGGAGTCACCCGCTTTCAGGCAGCTAGTTAGCATGATAGCATGTCCGGGCGGCACACGGCATATGGGACGGAACACTTTTTCCAACTACCTGGAGAAAGAATATACAAAAATGGAAAGCCAGCTAATATCGATGCAATCCAGATTGCATATAATGCATGTCAAGTTGATCAACAGATTGTATTATTCTCCAATGCAATAACAGTACTGAAATGAAGGCTATAAGGGCATTAATGGGAGAATTTTTTTCAAGTAACGAAAACGTTACGCATTACTTTTGGGTGTAAGTAACTAGTAAAGTAACTGAGTGACTTTTGAAATGAAGTAACTAGTAATGGTAACTAGTTACTGGTTTTCAGTAACTAGCACAACACTGATTGTAACACATAATCACACATCAGAGCACAGTGGGCTCATGGGGGGGGGGGCAGGAGCTCCAACAAGCCGTTTAGGACAGAGTGAATACACATGCTATACAGAGATGCTGTATGAGAAACCAATGTGATTTTGGAACAATGTAAATCTATTCTAGTAGACCTCAACAATGGAATTATGATCAGTAGAAATGGGCATGGGACCTTTTAATAAACTCCAACCATTTAATGCTTGCACAGTGGACTGCACCAGAAATGGAATTAGACCCAATTCTACTTTCTTATTCCTATTGTATTTGAACAGGGTTACATACTCATAGTGAGATAAGTCATGAATAAGGAATTGCAGCAACCTCAAAATGATGTCCCTTTGTCACAGGGTGCTGATGGTGCTGGGAGCAGGTAGGGGTCCCCTGGTCAACGCGTCCCTGCGTGCTGCCAGACAGGCAGACAGGAAGCTGAAGATTTACGCCGTGGAGAAAAATCCCAACGCTGTAATCACGTGAGTGGAACATATGTCGAAGCACATGAAGCAGGTATCGATTCCATGCACAAACATTTAAACTGCTCATACCTGTTCAGGCTGGAGAATTGGCGCTTTGAGGAGTGGGGTGATCAGGTGACGGTGGTGTCATGTGACATGCGGGAGTGGTCAGCACCTGAGAAAGCCGACATCATCGTCAGCGAGCTGCTGGGATCATTTGGGGACAATGAACTTTCCCCTGAGTGCTTGGACGGAGCGCAGCACTTCCTCAAAGGTACTTCAATGTTTTGGTTAAAGTGAATAAGGCTTGATACTTTGAAGTTGCTTTGGATTAAAGCTTCAGCTAAATGACTTAATGTAATGATGGGGTGATGATTTCTCTCTCAGATGGCGGAGTGAGCATCCCCTGCTCCTACACGTCCTTCCTGGCTCCCCTGTCCTCCTCAAAGCTTTACAACGAAGTACGGGGATGCCGGGAGCGCGACAAGGACCCAGAGTGCCACTTTGAGACGCCCTATGTCGTGCGCCTCCACAACTTCCACCAGCTGGCTGAGCCCAAACCGTGCTTCACCTTCAGACACCCCACAAAAGGTAAACGTGTCAAGAAACAAGCTACTTTTGTTAAAGTTTTTTTTTTTACATTTGTTTTGAAATGTGCTGACCTCCCTCTTTTTTTCTTTTCTTTTTCAGATATGAACAATAACCGGTATCAGTGCCTCAGATTCTCTGCAGGATGTAACACGGTGCTCCATGGCTTTGCGGGCTACTTTGAGACCACGCTGTACAAAGATGTCACACTCAGTAAGTCATCTTTATAAGGAATAAGTGATGTCATGATGGTATAAAAAAATATTGATGTTTATATTGTGTGTGGCAGGTATAAATCCACAGACGCACTCAGCTGGAATGTTCTCCTGGTTCCCCATCTTCTTCCCCCTCAAAGTAAGTTATACCATCAATTCGGAAAATGGTTTGCTCTTCTACATTTGCATTTGTACACATTAAAGAGGACATTATGCACATTTTCAGGTTCATATTTTGTGCCTATATTGTGTTTACATAAAGGTCTTTATTTTTCTCTTACTTTCTATGCTGCAGCACCTCTTTTCACCCTCTGTCTGCAACCAGAGCCCAGTCTGCTCTGATTGGTTAGCTGGCCGGCTCTGTTGTCATTGCTCAACTGCTTAAGAGATTTCCCGCCCCTTAGCCTATCACGTACAATGTGTTGGGAGTGCTAACCAATAGAAGCGCGATGTGTCATAGTCACTATTTTACAGAAGTAAACGAAGGATTTTAGTATTTTAGCCTTGACATGCACAAAAACCTAAATAACACACTACATCAATGGGAAAACCAAGAAAGAAGACCATAATAGGGCACATTTATTTCTCTTTTTCTTTCTTCCAATAGCAACCCATCTCCGTATCCCGAGATGAAGATATCGCGGTGCGATTCTGGCGCTGCAACAACGGGAAGAAAGTGTGGTACGAATGGGCCGTGACCGAGCCCTCCTGCTCCGCCATCCACAATCCAGCAGGGCGCTCTTACACCATTGGCCTGTGAAGAGAACAAATTTGCACACATCTCTGTAAAACTTGGTGGCAGTTAATGTTGAAGTGTCACGGCTCATTTTTTTTTACACGCAGTTAAAAACCTGGACTTAAAAAAAAACGTAAGTGTGTTCTGGGTTTTAGAATTACCCGCGATAAGCACTTTTTGAGCCGGTCTGTTTCAGCGGGCATGGACTATCACCTGAACAAGTGTGTTGTCGCCACCTCGACACCAGTTGGTTTTTTTTAAAGCCGTTTTCCCCTCCTTCAGACATAAAAACTCAATCCAACCAAACCTTTGCCTTATCAAACACGCATTCCACACCGATACCTACATACTGATGAAACACACTTCTAAAAACAGAAGGTTATGCTATTCAGGTCACATATACCATATTGTTTCGGGGGGCTGTCAATTCATAAATCATTGTTATTTTCTTTCTGTATGTTTGAACCGTGTCAATAAAAACAACACTGCAATGTTCTCCATATGCTCCGCTCTTTGTTTGGTACCAGCTAGTTCTCAAGATTGCAATTCAAACCATTGTTAAAGTTTGTTTTAAATGTAGAATGAAGGCGAAAGCACAGTTTTGAGTTTATTTAGCTTAGGAGGTAAGCTAGCACGTAATTATGTGAGTTGTCCAGTAGATGTCACCCCTAGAGGAAAACTACCAGAGTGCAACTAGTTGATATTGGTAGCATTCTTAGCTAGCCATAACTTAATTGGTGTAAACCAATAGAGGTACAAATGGCAGATATACTTTTGTAATTTACTTTCCCATGAGTGGAACGACATTATTTCTGAGCCCTGATCCTCATGAGCACAGTCGAGCATTTACAGACCTGTCAGATGTAACACATCTTTAGTTGACAATTATTTGGTGTATACTAGGCATTTTTGCGCAAGTGCACCTCTCAATATAAATGCTACAAAATAACCTAAATATACTTGTCAATCACAGCTGAAGGCATTCCAATTCAATATGAGGCAATGCCAGTATGAGGATATTTTGAACCTGACAAACTCCACCTCCTGATATCCACATTATGTACTTGAGCATAACAATAACTGGGAGTCAGACTGTGGCCCCTCATACACATCCTGTCTGTTCTTATCATGTTGTATACACTCGTTTGTACATATCTTCCAGTTGCTTAACAGACACACACAAACACACAACTGGCGACATGATGGTTAAAGTGTTTTGCCTGTTGGAGCAATTCTTAAGTTGAGAAAGCCAGACAGTAGACTCATCCATGAAAACCGTAAAGAGTAAAACAACTTTTTTTATGCAGACAGATATAATGAGAATATTTGCGCGTGCCTACTTGCGCTATATTCCACCCAGGGAAAATCTTCATACCACCTCAACCAGTTTTGACCGGAAATGAGTTCCGTTCAGAGGATAAAACACATACAACATCAACTCGATATTTGTTCACTTTGAATGCTTGGATATTCTCAATGGGTGAATACAAAAATGTATAATAATCAAAAAAATTAAAGAAAAAGAAAATATTACACCGAAGCTTTCTCAGGGCGGGCCAATGAGTAAACTGGGCGGGCCTGGACCCGCCCTGGCCCTATGGTGGCTACGCCACTGACATGAAGTCCGTCACTTAACAGCTGCCTTCAGGGGGGTTACAAGTCACATGCCTAACAGGTGAGTCCTCACTTTGTTAGCTGTTTTCTCCAGGTTTTTACAGCAAAACAGAGAGCAAGCTGCAGTGTTAATTGCTAATTACGACATCCTTGTTGGTCTACAGGGGAAAAGTCGTGTTGGTCCTCTCGTGAGCCATTTTAAATTGGTGAAGTTGATCCTAAAACTTAATAATAACATTTTTGTTTAAAGTAGACGCTGTGTCTCGTTTTGCTTAACAAACTGGAGTTGTTTCAATGTGTTTGTGGTTACTCACCTTTCAGACAGAGCCGCACTTTGAATTGCGAATGAGGTTAAGTGGTTTTCAATTTGATAAAACTGCAGCCAACCAAAGATGGAAACTGCACTTACATCAGCATTTATGGCACATTGTAGGCTACCCGTGAGAAAGTGCTTGAGCAATTACTCAGCAAATGTGTCCGGGAAAAGCATTGCAGCGTTGTTCACCTTCTTTAAAACATGTGTTCAAAAATAGACCTCTATACTTGTAGGTGCTGCCCACAGAAGAGGGAGACAGGATGACCGAGGGTCCGATGAAGCGGGGCAGCAGCGGCGGCGGGGACAGTCACTCTGAGCCCGCAGACACACAGCCGGTAGCCGCGAAAGATGCAGAGGGCTCCGGGGTGGCTCTGAAGAAAGAGATCGGCCTGGTCAGCGCCTGTGCCATCATAATCGGTAAGGAGCAGGGACGTGCACAGACATTTTGGGGGGCAGGAGCTCAAGTGAGAAAAAGGGCACTTGCCATAATAATTGATAAAACATTTTTTTTAAACAAATAGTTACAAATAGTTGCACATCTCTGACTTACTGACCAATTTATTTGAATATCCTCACACTCACGCAATTGTTTAATACTCAACAGAATTCTACAAAAATAATCATAACTTTTTTGTTTTACATTCGATTGCATTATGGCTTTATGATATCCTTCACAGTAGACATTTGAACATATAAAATTGTTGACCACCACTTTCATTGAACTGTGGATGATTTAGTCAACTTTGTAACACCCATGGTGTTCCCGGTCCCTTAAAGAAAAGGAATTAGTAACCATCCGGATCAGATAAAACACACATACTCTAGATGTGTCCCCCCCCCCCCCCCCCCCCCCCCCCCCCCCCCCTTATGTGCCCAATCCCCCCATGTGAATCACACCTGGCACTCACAAACACTCACAGAACAATTTGACACATTTCCCGCTCTTATGTGCCCATCCCCCCCACATGGATCACACCTGGCACACGCAATACATGTTCAGTGTCTATTCTTTGTATATTTACTGCAGTTGTTGTTCATATACCAGTAGTCTGATACAATATGTACAGTTTGAAAGGGTGTTAAATTACATTTGGTGATGATTAATGGTTTTTGTGTTAATGTAATAGCAGTTAAAACCGGACCGGTCGAATTTGACCGCGAACACCAAAGTAAGGGGGGGGAAACAAAGACAATAGGAGGGTTAAGGCAGGACATTACAGGCAAAAAGAACGTTATATCTGAATTCATCTATAGATATAAAGCTAATCTGCATTTAAACATAACATTTCCGGGGAAAATACTGATTTGACGTAAGTAACTATCTGGGGAAGTTGTGAGGTGCTATGTTTTTTTTATCCTTTTCACCTTTAATGCCTTGGTAACTGCATGCAAATTTGCGCATTTTAATTAGGCCTAGTTAATGCCTACTTTGCATATCAATGGGGCGATTGTGATGACGTTATTAGATACACATTGTACTGTATTCACCTGTAGTGTCTCCCCAAGTACAGTACATTAGCCTGTATGCCCATGATAAATTGCCTTAGCTAAACCTTGAGCCAACTTATCCATTAGCTGTACCCTACTTTAACTATTTGTTTTTGGCTAATTAGCTGTAAACCTCGAGGCACTGGCAGTTTAGTCATTTGTTCATCTCCACTCACCTTCAAACAAGCCAAGAAAAGCCGGCATAGCATGGGACTTTAAGGTGCAGGTGCTGCTACCTGTCTGTCTGAAGTGGCTGCCGATGACTGTCCGCACCGCTGTGCGCGAGACAGGGAGGGAGGGTAGAGAGAGCATCGGAACTTCAGTCTAATCTCCCGACCTGATATTTTTATTTTGTATTCAATCAATATATTTTTGGAAAGGGAAACTGTGCGCAAACAGCAGTAGATATATATACATTTATTGGAGGAAAGAAAATGGAAAAAAAGCACCCCATTTAAAAAGCGCACTTTCTCTGGAGGAAGTAAAAGGGCAGTGGCTCAAGCCCACTTTGATGTCTGTGTGCACGTGCCTGGTAAGGAGCCTATACATGTTTGTCTCCTAGCATATTTTAAGTAGAGAAAAGGTGTCCTATTTCACTTAGCCTAAGTGAAATAGGTAAACTTAGCCTATGTGAAATAGGGTTCCCTCCTGTTTTTAAGAGAAGACCACTTTATAAATTAAAAATCTAATTCTAAGAGTATGTTCTCTAATTTCATTGCTTTTTGTATTTTATCCTGTATGTTTGTTGTTTGATTTATTTATTTAGTATAATAAATTGCAGGTTATTTTCACACATACATTTTTACTACATAACTTCTTAATTTTATATACATATATTTATTATGTTTGAACATGTTTTATTGAACTTTTTTCTCCACACTATCATAATAATAATAGCTTGGATTTATATAGCACCTTTCATGAGACCCAAGGTCGCTTTACAAAGAAGAGTAGGAACAAACAAAACAAAAGTCAGACAGACAAAACAACAAATAGATTTGGGGCCAAAGGCCTTAGCAAACAGATGGGACTTGAGGGCCCTTTTGAAGGCGTCAAGCGTGGGGATGTCGCGGATCTCCGCAGGGAGAGCGTTCCAGAGGGTGCGGGCTGCCACACTGAAGGCTCTGTCCCCGAAGGTTCGCAGGTTGGTGCGGGGGGTGTTAAGCAGGCCAGAGTCTGAAGACCGCAGGTTCCGGGGTGGGGCATGTGGGCGGAGGAGGTCCGATAAGTACTGGGGGGCATGGGCATGGAGGGACTTGTAGGTGAGGAGGTGGACTTTGTAAGTTATGCGGGACTTGACCGGCAGCCAGTGGATGAGGGTGGGAGCAGGGGTGGATCTACCGGGGTGGCCACCCCAGCTGCCACCCCAGTTGGCATCTTTGTTTTGAAAGAAAAGTTGTGGCTCATCGGACATTTATGAGAGAAAGTCTCTAATGTCCGAGTGCAAGTGAATGCAGCACAAGATGCACGTCATGTAACCCCTCCCCCGGTCCTGGCGCGAGAGTGGAAATATGATTGGTGGCGAATTCACTTGAACGGGATGGCGCAAAACGAGAAGCGTTTCGGACCCAAGCACTGAAGGAATGAGGTAGTTGCGGTCTACAATGACAGAGAAGAGAATGTCAAGTTTGGCTGTACTCAGCATTGAATCAAAACGCACTACAGCTGTTGATCTTAATAAATTTGTGAGGCGTTTTGCTGAACAAAATACTAATCGCCGCATTCAGCTGTAATAGACATGCCAACTTGATGCTCTGCTCACGGATGACTCGATGAGAATAACAAACTGTTAAGATGATGACCTTGTATGCGTGTATATATTTTTTTCTTTGAGGGGGTCTGCCCCCAAAAAACAGTTTTAAGTCCTGAGAAAGTAAAAGACGGTGTGTAAAACTACACTGCTCAGCCAACAGAAAGTAACCACTTTGATTGAACTAGGCCAGTAGGTAAGGACCTTCCACTGGATAATAACTGCAGCGATGTTTTAGCTGAATACACGTTTTTTAACCCTAACTGATGCAGTTAGTCACTTCTTTAATGTTTGTTCTTTCTGATGTAAAGTCAAGGTTGTAACTGTATATCAATAATGATATAATTACTTGTTTTTCAAAATAGAAGGAGGGTGAGCAAGCATCTTGATGAACATTCATCATTAACTCCTCCAAAAAATATAGTTTATTCAATAATAAATGAATATGTGAATCATAACAGTTCTTCACTATATCTGTAAAGCGACTTTGAGCACCTGTAAAAACGCTAACAAATTAAATCTATTATTATTACTATTTATTAACAGTGATTGACAGCTGATAGGAATAATATGATTGTTAATATTATCATATTCATTCAGACAAACATCGATGAGACAGTTAATTAATGTACTTATTGCAGCAGTCTGTATATATTTGGTACCCCTGCTGGTCTAAGAGTGAGACAAACTCATTCAGTTATTGTTCAGTTAAAATTCATTCAATTACGTCTGCCACCTTGTAAGGCTTTACTGATGTGCCACAATAATATCACCTATGTGATTGAGTTAAAATATTAATATTGTGGCTTTCCAAGTTAACATTGATTGTAGGGGTGTAACGGTTCACAAACATTTCGGTTCGGTACGTACCTCGTTTTTAGGTCACGGTTCGGTTCGGTACGTTTTCGGTACAGCAGAAAAAATTATCACAAAACATTAAATATTTTTTTAAAATTATTATTAAACTGACTAATGTATTCAAATAAATACAAAATATAGTAAAATAAACATTAAGGTGCAGCATTTCGATGAACTGAAATAATCTGTATTTGAACTGTACTAGTACCTAAGCAGCCGGCTTGACATTAGGACTTGCTTTTCATTGTATTTTCATGTTGTTTAAAGAAAGATGAACTTGTCCACATTGCTTGCTGAAATGGCAGATCTGCTGGCACTAACAATGCCTCCTGCTGTGGAGAACACCCTCTCTAGGGACAGAGGTAGCAGACACAGCCAGGTAGCGCTTTGCTAACATGGCAACATAAGGATACTTGGCGTTTGTAATAGCTTTGGCTCGGTCTGAACATTCTGCGAGTAGTGGAGGCTTACATGCTAGTGGGAGTTGGGTTTGCGCTTCAGTCTTTTTTCTTTTGGTACCGGTGATATTCACGTTCGGTGATGCCTTTTCAAATGAGTGTGATGTATTGCCAGCCGCGTAACCAATGTTAGTTGAACAATGTCGACAAACAGCTTTGGTTCGGTCCACCTGTCTTTGTCCGTCATCCTTGTACGTAACTGCGAAACCAAAATGTTCCCAAACCGGAGACTTCAATGATGCTGGAGGATTTTCAGCTCAACTTTATCTGCGTTCGCCATGTCGACAGTTCCTCAAATTACTGACTACATTTGAACACATCCCTGTGACCAGCTCTCATAGTATGCCTCTCGTCCAATGAAATGACTTGGTCGCTCTATGATTATATACCTGAGATTACTTCCAGAAAGTTGTTCTCAATTTTTTACATTTAACGCTATATTCGTTCGGTACACACGTGTACCGAACCGAAGGGCCCCTACAAAATAATTTCAGTACGTGTACCGTTACACCCCTAATTGATTGATATGATTGCGATTTCAATCAGCATATACTTCTGTCAGGGGATGCGACCCCTCAAAATCTCCTGCCACCCTCTTGCCACCCCATGAATATTTGTCTACATCCGCCCCTGGGTGGGAGTGATGTGTTGCCACGGCTTTGTATGTGAGAGTACCCTGGCAGCACAGTTTTGAACATACTAGAGCCTGACCAGGGTTAGATAGATAGATAGATCTTTATTTGTCATTGTACAGGTACAACGAAATTACAATAAACTCAAGGTGCCAACACGCAACAACAAGACAATATAAAAACAAGACAATATAAAAACAATAAATGGGACTTAAAAAAGACATGATGGGGAATATGTACATAAATAAATAATAAATAAATTAAATTGCACGATTCCCCTCGTATTGCACGGAAGGCTTATATAATTTAAATATTAGCAGCGTTTAGTGCACATATGGCCCTGGGAAAAAAAACTGAACTTGAGTGTTTGTCCGGGAAGACATGGTACGGAAGCGCCTGCCTGAGCGCAGCCGTACGAAGTGCTCGTTACCCGGGTGGTGTGGATCCTTGAGGATTTTGACTGCCTTCTTAAGGCAAAGAGAGCTGTACAGTACCTCCAGGGAGGGGAGGGGGCAACCGATGATCTTCTAGGCCGAGTTGATGACCCTTTGAAGCGCACCCCTCTCTGCGGCTGTGCAGCTGAGGAACAACACGCAGATGCAGTAGGTGAGGATGCTTTCCACGGCGCAGCGGTAGAAGGACACAAGCAGATCCTGTCTGAGGTGGTAATTCCTGAGTATTCTCAGGAAGTAGAGTCTCTGCTGTGCCTTCTTGACGGTTGCCGTGGTGTTGGTCCTCCAGGACAGGTCCTCCGCCAGGTGAACGCCCAGGAATTTGATCACTGAGACTCTCTCCACACAGCCTCCATCAATGTACAGGGGCTGCATGACGGTCTTCTTCCTCCTAAAGTCAATGATCATTTCCTGGGTTTTCAGCTTGTTCAGCTGCAGGTTGTTTACCTTGCACAAAGCTAGCAGTTGCTCCACCTCTTCCATGTACGTGGTCTCGTCACTATCAATATGTATGGATAAATTAGTGTAAAAACTCGTAAATCATCTGAAACCTTTCTCAAAATGTCTGTTTAAACTGAACCCCTTTGTGTAGCCCTTATCCGCCTGACATGGTGGGCATTTACTGGGATTAACCAGTGGTGACCAACTGAAGAACAATGGCCTTCATGCAGTAACATTCTCTTAAATTAATCTGATAGTTTTTCAACTTCAGATGCACCAAATGTTCTTTCAAATAAGCTCTTACCCAAGTGTGCTGAGTTATGATCCCACGTAATCCTTAATTAGAAGAGAGTGGCCGTTTGCTCATTATTAGCATAATAAATGTCCTCAAATAATGTTGTAACTCTTGCAAAGGCCCAAGAGTTGGAGAGTTGGCAGCCAAAAAAGTAACTTCAGCAGTCGAGAAATTGAGGTACTCTTATTTAAACTCAAAGTAAATGTAAATCTTAAGATTGTCAGTAGTGACTTTCCAGGAGAATCAAAAGGCATCTAAGGGCCGTATGTAAGCCATTCAGGAACTGAATGTAATCAATATAAGGCTCAAATCAAGGGTTTTGATCAATGGACCAATAGTATTTCTTAAGCCCACTAATATAATAATCCAGTCAATACAAATCTCTCAAAGGTATTATCTAAACTATATTCTTAGATTTCCATGTGTTTTTTTCTTCATATTAAACAGGTTTCTTCGCGTTTGTGTGCTCTCGACAACTCGTAAAATGTTCTCTTACCCATATTAATGTCCCTTACCTTGCAGAGTCAGACAAATGTCCCAAAAAACAGTTACTTATGTTGTTTTTTACAACAGGTGGCATTACATTTCAATCAAACTGTACAAAGTGGCCATTGTCTTTCAGACTTGGATTTGTTTGTTGGTCCTTAGAGTTACACAGACGATACAAACTAATTCTGACATTTCTTCAAACATTAAGACATGCATCTTCTCTTTCTAAATCAAAATGGCTATGCGAATATAATCAAGAACGAATATTAAAGATACACATTGTCTATGTTGCTACCAATGTAACAGCCTTGCACTATTTCCAAAAGTAAAGTATGACTACTGCATGATGAAATATTCCAAATGAAAGCAGAAATGATGCCAAACAAGACCAGTTTCTTCACATGAGCTAACCAGCAGTTGGCATGTGCAATGGGAAACTTTGGATACCAGTTTGGGCAGTGTAATCCAAGTATCAGTCTTCTTAAAAAAGAATAGAGCCCAATGTAAAACAATAATTTCAGCTAGTACTTTTGTTCATGCAAAGAGATTTCATATGGACTAGGGTCCCATTGGCCAGCATGAAATGGGGCGTCATGGGACAGGAAATTGTATCATTAACATTAACCTGTCTCACTGTAAATAACCATAATTCCTGCAATGTTTTTATTATTATTATTATTATTATTATTATTATAGCATCCTGCCCTGTGTCTGGTCTTGTTTCTAATTCTGTCCTTTGTGTCTGTTCTCAGGCAACATAATTGGATCAGGGATCTTTGTGAGTCCTAAGGGGGTTCTGGAGAACGCTAGCTCTGTGGGCGTGGCCATCATCGTATGGGTTATCACCGGAGTTATCACCGCCATCGGCGCCCTCTGCTACGCTGAGTTAGGCGTGACCATCCCCAAGTCGGGGGGAGACTACTCCTATGTCAAGGACATCTTTGGAGAACTGGCTGGGTGAGAACAAATGTTAGCATTCATTTTGAAATGCATATAAAAGGTGAGTTTCAAATGCAGTAGCATCTACATATATCTGAGATGAACATACTGACAAAAAGGCCTGAACAAATGTATGTTGTCCCATTTTTCTACAAACAAAACTTCAGAGACCTCACATTAATGGGAATTTGAAGTAAATCCTCACCCCTCCTCTAAAAGTGTAAGCCCCTTCTGATGTTCCCAGCTTCCCAGAATGTCACTGACCCAGTTCCACTCATGTCTCTTGTTTTAAACAACAATGCCCTAGTGTACATGTATAATACACTCCGCTTATGTGCTTAATTTTTCTTTTGTTTCCCTGTTACATTTTGCGTTAACAAAGAGTAGCATGATTTGCCTGTAGTGTGTGTGTGTGTGTGCACTCATGTGACACAAATGTCTTTATGTCCAGGTTCCTGCAACTGTGGATTGCTCTGCTGGTGATCTACCCCACCAACCAGGCTGTGATCGCTCTCACCTTCTCCAACTACGTCCTGCAGCCTCTCTTCCCCTCCTGCCTCCCCCCAGACAGCGGCCTCCGCCTGCTGGCTGCAGTTTGCCTGAGTGAGTCATAGAATTTACATGGAAACTAAATGTGTCAGCTAGGCACAGATCATGACTCAGCATTCAAAGCCCACTTTAAAGAATACATTCCTGCCATGGTGTTTAATTCTACTCTTCTTTCTTCTTCAGTTGTTTTTAAAACACTTCATATTATAGAAAGACACCTTAGTAGGTGGCAGATTTAACTCTTAATAAGGGTGGGTGAGGCTGTACAGCATTTATTTTGCTTTGAAGTGAATGCATCATCAAGTTCAGCACTCGCAAGATTACAACACTGTCTGGAAAACAGATTCAGGGTATGGTCACATATGAGGGAATATTGGTCAGTGACTATTGCATGAAAATTCCCTAAAGTTAAACATTACCTGAGGCGAAGGAAGCAAATATTTAGTTTTTGAAATAGAACGGAAGTCAGTGGTTCAGTAATGGTATTTTGTGTGTGACCGCACCCCTTTTAATGTCTTCTGTATCTGATTAGCTTTGTCTTGTCTGTGGAAAAAATATGATAATGATCTCAAAAACTATGGAAACCAGTACGTTGATCACATTTGGCAAGAATTAGCATGTAAACATGCTCATGATATGTTAGCATTTAGCTCAAAGTACCACTTTGCATAGGTACAGCCTTACAGAACTGCTATCATGGATGGCTATGGCTAACCCAGTTTCAATCACTGCTTGTGAACTCTTATCAAACTGTTCATATGACAGTGTTGCTCAAATTTGAAAAACTATTATTTTACTGTATATCTAGCTTTAAATATTTACTGAAACGTGTATTGTACTATAACTTTAAAATGAGAGTTGCGTTGGGCGGATGCTTGGTTTTGGCTCGACTGTTTTCAACATGGCGGCCAGGTCTCTCATTTATAGTATTTTATTTGTTTACTGGGATTGTTCATCTATATAGAGAACATAAGTCCCGCCCTTCTACTTCCGACCCATGGGACCTTATTTTGGAAAAAATATGTATGGTAGTCATTGGCGAGAGAGAAATAATTTTTCGATCCTGTTTGAATTGTGCCATGAATTACACATGATGATGTTTGTCAATTTAAAAGATAATTTTGCAAGTCACTTGGAAATTATTTTTTAAAATTGACAAACATCATTATGTCAATGGAATGTAACCAAAGTATTCCACACACAACATGGATATCATTTTAACTTTTTTTGTCATCCTTGCCATGCTGTAGTGTTGTTGACATGGGTGAACTGCCACAGTGTGCGCTGGGCCACATGTGTCCAAGACATCTTCACTGCTGGCAAGCTTTTGGCCCTGGGTCTAATCATAATCATGGGAATCGTCCAAATATGCAAAGGTAGGATTTCCAGTCTCTTTAAACTCTTTTAGTTTCTTTACTGTACATGTCTGTCTCTCTTTTGGTAGGGAGGTGGTTACCAGTGTTCTTTGTTGTAACCTCTTCTCACAAATACATTTTTTTTTAAAAATAAAAAAAATATAAAGAGAAGGGTAGAAATTGAGTGTTCATTAATACACAATATAAAACATACAGAATAAACAATGTAATATACCAATTTACTACTAAAACAAAATGTAGAAACATACAAATATTTGAACAAAACATGGGCATAATTTTGACGTTCCCTTCTCAGAATTTCATTTTAATAGTAAATGGATCTGAAGAGGTGTAACTTACCAGTTTTTCACACGTGGGCATCAGCACTTTAGCCACAGTAACACACAATATAAGTTACCTTGTGCTTCTCACGAGATTTGTGATTCCAGCGTGAAAGAGGGATTACAGTCAGTCATAACTCTCTTCACTCATCACTACAGCAATCAACTCCTCCCTGTCTTCTGGCACCATTCCACCGTCCCTCAAAATAGCTGCTATCACCCCTATTCTGAAAAAACCCGGACTAAACCCTGACAACCCTAATAACTTCAGACCAATCTCGAACCTACCCTTTCTGTCAAAAGTTCTGGAACGCGCTGTAGCGGCACAACTTAAGCATCATCTTTCTGCTAATAACCTCTATGAAACTTTTCAATCCGGATTCCGCTCAAACCACAGTACCGAAACGGCACTCCTCAAAATTACAAATGACCTTCTCCTCTCCTCCGATGCTGGTAACCTCAACATCCTCATCCTCCTTGATCTCAGCGCTGCCTTCGACACCATCAATCACTCCATCCTCCTCACCCGTCTTGAAACCACCTTCAACATCACCGGCACTGCCCTCTCTTGGTTCACTTCATACCTCTCTGACAGAAACCAGTTCATCTACATCAATAACTGCAAATCCCCCACCGCTCCTCTCCCCTAAGGTGTCCCTCAAGGTTCAGTTCTCGGCCCCCCCCTCTTTATCCTTTACCTGCTTCCCCTTGGTCACATAATCCGCCGTCATGGACTTCAATTCCACTGCTTTGCCGACAACATCCAGCTTCTCATCTCCACCAAGTCCATCTCCACTGCTACCCACTCCATTCTGACAAACTGCATCACTGAAATAAAATCCTGGCTCCAACTTAACTTCCTGAAACTCAACTGCGATAAATCTGAAATAATAATCATTGGACAAATCAAGCTCACCACACCTATCCATAACTTCACCCTCAACATAGACGGCCCAGTTCAAACCTCCCCTCACATCCGGAACCTAGGCATCATATTTGACCAAACCCTCTCCTACAACAAATACATCAAACGGATCACAAAGACAGCCTTCTTCCACCTCAAAAACATTGCACGTCTACGTCCATCCCTCTCTCCCACTGCTGCCGAAACCCTCATCCACGCCTTCATCACCTCCCGTCAGGACTATTGCAACAGCCTACTCTACGGTTCACCTGCAAAAATCCTCAAAAAACTTCAATATATCCAGAACTCCGCCGCCCGTCTACTCACCCACACCCGAATCCGTGAACACATTACACCCATTCTCATCAAGCTCCACTGGCTCCCCATCCCCCAGAGAATTCAGTACAAGATCCTCCTGATGACATACAAAGCCCTCCATAACCTGGCCCCATCCTACCTGACTGACCTCCTCCACAGACACACTCCCACTCGCTCCCTCCGCTCTGCTACTGCCAACTTCCTGTCCCTCCCCACCCGGACCAACCTCAAGTCCTGGGGCGACAGAGCCTTCTTCGTTGCTGCACCCACCCTCTGTAACTCACTACGCCAATCCATCAAACACGTGGGTTTGCTATCCTGGCTCCAAGATGGTGGAATGAGCTCCCCATTGACATCAGGACGGCAGATAGCTTGCACATCTTCCGGCGCAAACTGAAAACTCATCTCTTTCGACTCCACTTCGAGCGTTAGAACGATTAACGAAGCACTTTTATACTAATAAAGGACTGGCTTACCTAAAGCCAGTTGAGTAGCACTTGAAATGTTTGGCTCTATGAAACCTGATATACTTATATGATTCTGTTTTCTTCAAGGTTGTGTCTTCCTGGTCGAATGTACTTATTGTAAGTCGCTTTGGACAAAAGCGTCAGCTAAATGTAATGTAATGTAATCAGAGATTCTTCCTCCCTCACAGCATTCAAAACATCACTCAAAACCCACCTGTTCAACACTGCATTCAACCACTGACCACCCCCCTCCCCCCTATTTTTTGTTCTGTTTATCTCTTTTTGTATTTCTTTGTTATCTATTTTTTTATTCTTTTTTGTTTTCTCCTCTTAATTCTCTGTCAAAGCGTCTTTGAGTTTCATGAAAAGCGCTATAAAAGTCCCATGTATTATTATTATTATTATTATAACCCTTCATCCCCCTCATAATCCTCACACACACTTACACACTCATTCATGTGACTCGCCCCCTCATAATATCTTACTTTGCGTGGTATATAAACTAGAGATGCAGGCTAATTAATATGTCTCTTGGATGTTGTTTGGTGACCTCTGCTGCTCAGCCTTTGGTAGTGAAAAGCAGTTGACAATGTAACGTCATTTCAATGAATTCTGACGTTTCCTCGTTCTCAGGTCACTATTACTGGTTGGAGCCAGAACACGCCTTCGAGACGTTCAGAGACTACGGTGTGGGTCAGATAGCTCTGTCCTTCCTACAAGGATCCTTCGCTTATGGAGGCTGGAACTTCCTCAACTACGTCACAGAGGAGTTGGTTGACCCGTACAGGTAACATGCACAAGCATCAAAACCTGCAAAAAGAACAAAATGCATTAAAGGATTAAGGACAGACAATTATGCTTCATTCATTAACTTGATCTATTCCTACCTAAATCCAGCATTAAAAAGTAAATATTAAAAAAACATTTTTTTTAAAGGGAGTTTTCTTTAAATGTGTTATTTTCCCATATAATCTGAGGTAAAAATTCTATACGTTTAGCCTATTTACTGATGGTGCCTTAAAAAGGATTTAACTAGCAAGATTGAAACTGTTATAAAGACATGTTAACCTAAAATAATGTAAACAATGAAAACTAAAGATGTTATTAATAAGGAAAGACGCACACACCACAAATCTTCATAAACCATGAACATTAATCTTGTCTTTTGTCCTCTTAGGAATCTCCCTCTTGCGATCTTCATCTCTATCCCCATCGTCACCTTCGTTTACGTGTTCGCCAACATAGCCTACATCACCGCCATGAGCCCGCAGGAGCTGCTGGCCTCAAACGCTGTGGCAGTGGTGAGAAAACACACCCAGAATAAATGTTTTATTCCATATTATATCATCTTTTTTTAAAGATCATATAAAAGAAAGTCTGTTTTTATACTAGAAAATATTATTTGTTAACTGAACTAATAAACATAAAAATTGGCCATTAATGTGATTTTGTGTAATCTGTTAGTTCAATATTCATTACATTATTTTATGACAAATAATACTTGACATATTCGTGATCAGTCCAATTCATATTAAATACGATTTTATAGGTTAACTGAGTAAAAAGCAGTATAATAACCATTAAGTCTCAATCAAACGTAGCTAATGCATGGATCTAGAGCAGGGGGGTCAAACCTAATTTCATCGCAGGCCACATTAGCATTATGGTTGCACTCAAAGGGCCGGTTGTAACTATATACATATATAATATATATAAAATAATGTATTGTATTACATTATTGCCTCTGAATTGGATTATTATTGAATAGGGTAATTAACTACGTCTGAAAGCAGAAGTCCAGGGCAAATAATCGCAAGTCTCTTCAGTGGCATGTCACAAAACGAGATGCATTGTGGGACATGTAGTTTATGGGCAACCTGCTTCTGTAAAGTGGCATGTAACCATATAATAAACGTATTATAATCTTTGCAAGCTCTTGTGGGCCACATAAAATGAAGTCGCGGGCCGGATTTGGCCCCCGGGCCTTGAATTTGACACCCCTGATCTAGAGGCTAATCGGCAGCCATTTACAGAAACCACCTAGCTGTCACACGTTTATTCTTCTCACTCCATTTTAAAATGTCTTGATAAGTCACTGTTATTAAAGTGTTCTCTCCTCCTCCTCCTCTCTTTCTCTACTTCTAATGTTTCTCCCAGACTTTTGGAGAGAAGTTGCTCGGTGTAATGTCATGGATCATGCCCATCTCTGCGGCTCTCTCCACCTTCGGGGGGGTCAACGGCTCCCTCTTCACATCGTCACGGTCAGTTTATCCTCCATCTTTTGTCATTGCAGTTTCTGTGGCTGCTGTGCTTCTTTTTTTTTTTAATGGACTTGTTCCTTTGCTGACATTTGAGCCCGTAGATGTATATGGAGAAACTGGGTAAGCAGTGTAAAAATCAGGAAGCTACACAGAAATTGTAAAATGTATGATAGGTAACAATCTTTCACCATTAGGGCTACAAATTAGTTTTTTTGGATTATATTGGAAAAGTCTGAACAGAACATTATATTCCCTGTTCTGTAATTTGAGGTACTTTAAAGTGTTTTATGCTACTCTATATTTTTCCAATACATTTGACTGACCGCTTTAGTTACTTAATAGATTCCGACTGAACCCATACAAATTATTAATAAACCAATACAAAACATTGACATATATTCGTAGTTTTAGGGTAAGGTGTCATTCACACTGATGCTGTCCCCACCCCTTTTTTTAAATGGCCGATTTTTGTCCCATTACATTTAGAAGCATCATTTTTTTTTTTTTAAATGTTCTGAAAAACAGCTTGAACCAAAAAAAGGACATGTAGAATGAATCAATGTGCAATGTCGTTAGCTCAAAAAGCATGCATGGACTGATCAATAACTAAATGTTTGACATGTCTTGTTCCCCCCCAATCTCAGTAATCATCTGCTTTCTTGAAGACTATTTAAAAATACATTTGTCCTCACGACTTTTCAACACAAGGTGACGCCCTTGTTTGGTAAATGTATTATAGTTTTTAAGTTAGTATTGCTACATTTACTTAAATAAAACATCCGAGTGCTTCTTTCACCACATTCCACAGTACTCTTGTTTTGCTAAATGTTTCACCCTGACTTGTGCACTCTGTCTCTACAATAATGACCTGAGCTGTGTTCCCTGAGCTCTCAGCTGCTGAGTGCACACTGTAAATAAGCAGCAGCTGCCTCTGCTCTCAGTACTTCACCGTCTCCTCTTCTGTCTCTCAGGCTGTTTTTCGCCGGAGCGAGGGCAGGCCATCTCCCATGTCTGCTGGCCATGATTCACGTCAAACGCTGCACCCCCATCCCTGCCTTACTCTTCACTGTGAGTCCTTATCAAAACACTACATCCACTTTTTGTCCTTTTTTGTCTTTTGAAGAGATGATGACCCCTCCCTGTCGCCATTTTCAGTTGATCTCCACCCTGCTGATGTTGTGCACCAGTGACATTTACACCCTCATAAACTACGTGGGCTTCATCAACTACCTCTTCTATGGCGTCACCGTCGCCGGGCAGATCGTCCTGCGCTTTAAAGAGCCCGATATGTATCGACCCATTAAGGTAAATAGACTAATAGGTATTGAAAAGAAAACCAAATAAAAGATAAAAACACAATATTATTATGTGTATATTAAATGTGTTTAGATATCACAGTTATAGTCAGTACAGGTAGGTTGATAGATTCAGAATGATTCAAAGGCTTATTGTCAAATGCACAATGGCTACAGTTTTGGCTCCTCCAACAATGCAACATAAACGTACATAAAAAAACAATAGAAATAGTTGAAGAAATATAAATAATATACAGCAAGTAAATGAAGAAATTAGTAGGATATACATGATGGATGGAAAAATATAAAATTAAGAAAAGTGAATGCAAACTGAAACTGTGTACAGTGGAATACATACATTTTTCCTTGTTTAATATATATAATTCTGGTTGATGTTTAAACCAACAATCAAATTTCACAATTCTTTGAAACAATGCTTGATCATAAAGGTTTCTATATGCAGGGGTGCACATAACTTTTTTGCCCTGGTTCTCAAAGGAGCACCTGGAGATATTGCTTGGTGCTCATCCTTAAAATGAAATAAACCGTAACTTTTGAGGGGGTCTTGACTTTATTTGCCAAACACACGGCACTGAACACACATGCAGAGGTGAACACAGAACACACATGCAGAGGTGAACACAAGACAACATTAGCACGACCAGTAATCCTACAAGCATCACTACCCTCCTGACTGTTCTCCTCACTGTCTTCCTCTATGTCAGACATGGTAGCTGATGATGTAGGCCTACTACTTTCTCTCTGGTTGAGTCTGCGATTAGATACTTGATTCCACAAGTCAACAGCTGGGTTTGGGTCGAAAGTCTCTGTTGTCATCTTAGAAAAGTGGATGTAATCAAATAAGTATGTGAACATAACCAATAGCCTACTATAGCCAATAACAAATTAATGTAACTTATTTTATTTGTGTTGTTCATATCTTATTTTACCTTAACATTTATTTATTTATGCATTTTTTTTTTTTTATCTCCAGTTTTAAAGGATATTTTTGGTTACTGTCCTATAGTATACATTGGAATGATTTCAAACCTGTTTATCCCAATAATTACAAAGGAGTGCCTTGAAAATATGTGTTTACATAAATTGTGACCAAACCGTTTGAATTTAGACTAAGAGTCCTTTACCTCACTGAGCTGTAGTTAACTCATCAGCCTCTCAGTCTGACTGGAGAGGACTCTCCCTCCACATTATTGTAGAAACATCTTCTTCTTATCTCCGTTAGAGCAGCTAGCACAGCACCAGATTATAATAACAACAGCGCTGGTACCACCCTCCCTCTCTCCCTCGCTCACTAGCATTTTGGCTGTGAGCTGCGGGCGCCAGATAAGCCAACATCCCCCATTTTCATCACTTACAGCACCCATCGTACAGGGCAAATGAAACGTGGAACCGGGGTGAAAAGGGTGTTACATTTACTTAATTGTGAATATTATTACATCAAGGCCGAAAATTAGGATGAGCCCCAACAGTCAAAATGTTTTTTTCCCTCCCAGAACTGCCAGCGCAGCACCTCCCCAGATCTGGCGCCCTAGGCGAACATCTAGCCAGCGCTACGGGCCGGCCCTGAGTTCATATCATGGTTCATATGCAACTCGCAAATATCTTTCTCTCTCATCTCTCCTTTCTCCTCTATTTTCTCTTTTCCCTTCTCTCTCTCCCTCTTCCCTTCTCTCTCTCCCTCTCTCAATGTTGGTACGCAAATGCGCTTTGTTTCAAATGACCCGGTGCTCTTTTTTTGGCGGAGGTGCGCATGCGCACCTGCGCACCAGTTATGTGCAGCCCTGTCTATATGGCCCAAAGAGGTGTCGTAGGGCAAGCGCAATTAAACAAGACAATTCAAAGTGCTTTGCAAAAACATTAAAAGCATTAAGACAAAGAAAATCATAAATTACCCCCATTTTGAAACCCCCATTAGCCAAGAGAATACAAAATAATGTAATATAATTATTTTATTTAAGAAAAGGCAGTGGAAAATAGACATCAGTCTTGATTTAAAATTATTTAGAGTTGCAGCAGACCAGCCGTTTTCTGGGAGTGTGTTCCAGATAACATAAAAAATGTCTTTAATGATGATCAGACCGTGTAATTTTACTTTTGTTTCTCCCTGGTCCTCCAGGTGAGTCTGATGTGGCCGGTGATCTACCTGCTTTTCTGGGCCTTCCTGATAGTCTTCTCCCTCTACTCTGAGCCGGTTGTCTGCGGCATGGGCCTGGCCATAATGATGACCGGCGTCCCTGTCTATTTCCTGGGAGTCTACTGGGAAAAGAAGCCACAGTGTGTTGATAGTTTGATGGGTAAGGCAACATTCTACTGTCTCAAAATAGAAGATGTTTAGAGTTTGAAAATGTTATTTGAAAAATATCATATAGGAATTGAATTGTTAAGGTTATGTTCATCAGGCTAAATGTCTTTTAATTAAGCACTTTTCATATTAAATAATTTCCTTGGTATCTTTCCCCAACTGTACCCAGGTAAATTTACTCATCTGTGCCAAAAGCTTTGTTCGGTGGTCTATCCGGACATGGGGGACAAGGTGGAGCCCCAAGGGTCTCCAAAAGAAGATGGAGATAAGGAAGATGGAGGAAGCCCTCTGACAGCTGAATCTTGATGATGTGCATAAACAATCTCCAACAATGCCTCGCTCTTTTTTTATTTGTAAGGAGGAGGGGCAAAAAGGCACTTAGGAAAGACTCTTCGAGAGATTATCACACATATGCACTTGTTCTACGACATTGGCACGGGCATAGATGCTTTGTTGAAAAGTCACTGATGTTTAACTTATGTAACACTGAACATGAAATGATTACTTAAAAATATGTATATGTCTTGTTATTTTGTATTCAAGTGTGGAGTAATTATTATTCCATCGGAAAATGTTTTTATATGCAAGTTGTTTTGTAAAATCTGTGTTTGTATTCTCACCTCACCTAACACTAAAATGACATTTTGCAGATGGAATAATGTGTGCGTTAACGCAAAAAAAAAGTAACGCCACTAATTATTTGAACACGATTAACGCATATATATTTATATATGTGTATATATATGTATGTGTGTGTGTATATATATATATATGTGTGTATGTATATATGTGTGTATAAATTATTCATTTAAAAATATTCCTGTTGAAGGTTTTTTTTTTTTTTTTTTTTTGATCAATAGTTATTTTCTCGATTTATGAAGAGTTTATGTGAAGTGCGATTTTCTTAAAAGGAAAAAAAGTGTCCAATTAGGCATAGCGTGGAAAGAGCAAAAACGGCTACATTTCAAGTTCTTTATTTATAAATTTAACAGAAAGCTTTTGTTTGAAAATTAAATATTACTATTAGTTGCCCAATGCATATTTAGCACGTGGTTCCCGTATACCACGTTTTTTTTTCCAATCTTAAAACTATTTTAGACAAGAGTTTTTGACAAGTTGAATGCCTGTTAAAAAAAATGATACTCGGATGCACTCTTTTCGCACACTGCAGTAGTATTGTCACTGTGCTGCCTGCTGAACCTCCTCATCAATGTTTTATCTACCTGTTGGAACACCTGACGTAGAAGGGGCGGAGCCCACGCACCGTGAGCGATCAAATTGCGGAAGTCATGGGCTATGACGAGCCGGGCTTGGTTACAATTTTACGATGCCCTGAAATGGACAGGAAAGAAGATGCATTTGCTTTCAAAATACAAGCCTGAATCAGTATCCAAATAATGCTGGATCAATTCAAAGTTGTGGATGAAATGAATCAAATCAAACCAGTACATCTAATTGGTGTATTCTAAATCATATTTATTTATACAACACTAAGTACTGTCAAATATGTTACATCTTGTAGCCTACACAACAATTGTAAACAAACTTTTCTAATCCAGGGTAGCCTATAACATACCGAAATAACGTAAGCCTAGAGCTTTTAGGAGCTTGAGTCTGTGGAAATTCCGGGCAGCTGCACACTCTGATAGTTTAGTAATCCAGTATTTGCTCTACCTAGTGATTTAGAATCAATTTCCCCCCTGTGTTGACACAATTATTGTTAGGGTAAATGGATTCCCCAATTAGTTCGTTTGGATAACTATTTTACTTTTTTTTTTAACTTTTTGGAAGTAATTAGGCTACTGGCCACCACAACCATCTTACATTAAAAGTGAATAATTAGGGTACGTGTTATGATAATAGTGTGACATATTTACAGGATGCTACTTGCCATCTACCAAGGTACAGTAGCCTAGTCTTCAATAGGTTATACTTGTACTGGAACTATTTCCCACACTTCTAATCCTTCTGTCCATCTGCGGATGAAGACCATAACATGTGGTTGAAATACATGAACACAGCTATAGTGGCTCAAACTTGGGTTAAGATTATTATTTTTGATCTGAACCTCTAAATTACTGTTATCACTGTTCCCTGCAGACCTGTCACAACCGTCACAACAGGCAAAGCACAGCAATTAATAACACTAACGAGGGCTCTGCATATCCCTCGTTAATGTAACAGTCTGTGCTTTTTGTACTCACGCATCACAATTCAAAATGTCTGCTGGGAAAAAGGCCTATTATTCTCCCAGAAATGATATTAAAGCAGTGTTTGGATATTTTACAGGGAAATTACAAAACAATACATAGTTTGTTTGCTTTTGATATCAAGCCAGACATTTTTCAGACAGACATTTCTCAGGTGGCAACATGTAGGATCATGACCTCAATATTTCTAGAAAGTCCTATCTCTTTTCCAATAAATGTCCATTAAGCTGGTGAGGCAGCTATGAAAATGAATCCCCTGTAACTTGCGTGTACACCGTGTATACCATAATTAATGTTATTAGTTTCACCGAGGCTATTCCTGTTATGTACAAATGTTATATGAATAAGGCCTAATAAAAAAATACCTTCCTGTGAATTTAAAATGCGTATTTTATTTTGAAAGGGGTGACAGGAAGTCTTTTGATTATACTCTCATCCATTGACACTACATGGATCCACAGTATTTGGGTTTCCAGCCATCTGACTGCATTCGTCTATTGGAGGGGGTTCGGTTGAACCGCTTTACTTTTCAAATACTGGGGACTCTGCACAGAGTAGAGGTAGGTATTTATTCTGTAGCTTAAACCATTCACATAAACACACCTCCATGCTAAGTTAGCTAGCGCTGTAGCTCTCTCACTGAGCAAGCTTGACAGCATCTGAAGGTTAGCTCTGCTCGGTCACTTGGCTAGCCACTGCCTCGTTTCACTGACCTGCATCATCGACTGGGGGAGTGTAATGCTAACTTGAATCTATTTGATACCTAAATGTTTTTTTACAACGTAAATTATGAAGATAGAGGTAGGTTATTGACAAGTTTAGCCATGTCTATGAGTAAATAACGCTATGCCAATATGTCACCAGGAAGAGCTTTCAGCTTACCAGACGTAGTTGAAGTAGTTTGAACTGTTTTTGCAATATTTACTCTTTGGCTTTGTGTTTTAGTGACACCATAGCTCTTTTAATGATTCCGTTATTATGGTGTAGTAACAGCTTTACGTCATTAGCCTAACGTTACACACACAGGTGGTATTTTTCAGTGACAGGAACTGGAAGTGAAATTATGCTAATAATCGTAGTATAACTCTGCTCTGTTACTTTTCTGTCATTTAACATATCCATGACACCCCATGTACACACACACACACACACACACACACACACACACACACACACACACACACACACACACACACACACACACACACACACACACACACACACACACACACACACACACACACACACACACACACACACACACACACACAGCCATGTCTCCTTCAGTACCCCTACAGGAGATGATCCGGGCCATCAGGTCAGCCAGGACGCAGTGTGAGGAGCGAGGTGTCATCCAGAGGGAGTGTGCAGCCATCCGGGCACAGTTCAGACAGGCAGACAATGGGGGGCGATCGCACAACCTGGCAAAGCTGCTCTACGTGCACATGCTAGGCTACCCTGCTCACTTTGGTCAGGTGAGGGGGGATTGTGCTAATTCCTTTCATGGGTTTGCTTGGGTTAAGGGGGTTAGCAGGGGTGAGAAAACATCATGCTGCTGGATGATCCGGGCTCAATTCATCGCTGATTTGTTCTCGTGTAAGATAGGGGCCTGGTCCCAATGTCCAACCACTATGTGTTTAAACTAATTCCATATAGACATGATCTGTGTGCTTAGCAAACATTTGTTATTGCATGACAAAGCTCTAAAAACATTAAGAAATGACAGCAACTTGTGGAATAACAAGCTAAATGCATAAAGTTAAGATAATATTAGTAAGTCTCTGCTGGGGAAACTAGTTCTTCTGGCTCTTGTTTGACATTCCGTGTCATTACAATGCTTTGAATCGTGGTTAATTCCCTCAAGCAAAGTCTACTCTGCAGCATCTTAAACCACTGAAACCTTTTCAGCTCCAGTAAGGCTGCAGCTCTCAATCTGACCTCCACTCAGAGAGGGCAAAGAGCTGTTCATTTCCCTCGGGGCATCAGCAGTGTGAGTACACTAGTATCTCATGTCACCTCACATTAAAAGGAGTTGTGGTTCTCCCGTCTAGATGGAGTGTGTTCGGATGATAGCCAGCCCTCGATACAGCGAGAAGCGCGTGGGATATCTTGGAGCCATGATGCTGCTGGATGAGAAGCAGGATGCCAGTTTGCTCATCACCAACTCCATCAAAAAGTAAGAACACCTACTTGAACTTGAAATCTGAAATCGTAATAAAAAATATTAGTAAAACCACTGTATTTAACATAAACAGCCAAAGGGCAATTTTACACCAATGTTTACAGGACTTTGGGAGTACCACTGTATATGTTAAGTTGCCTCAAGTGATGTCAATTGATTATCAGTTGGGTCTGAAGACCACAACTTTTAAAATTAAGAACATCTTGGGGAGTGGAGTTGGAAAGAAGTACATTTGCCAGACCTTTGTTGTCCCCATCTCATCTCTGCTAAAGGCTTTAAACTTCAAGATACATTAGCCGCTAGAATCCTAACACACCTTAATCTCTAACCAAACTATTGGCAGTTCCAGTTGCATTGAGGGTAATGTAGGCGCCACGTTTTGGCTATGGAATAGAAGGCGTGGAATTGAAAAAGACGCTATCTATTGTTGTGCGCCATCAATTTTTTATAAATGTTTTAACAATCCATCTTAAGCACAACATTGATATAGGAGTAGGAAATGCTTAATAATTAGTTGGAGAATTCGTTAATAAATATCTTACAATGCATACAAAACTGTTTATAATGCATAGCTATTTAGGTAGCTGTTATAGTGTTCAGTAGCTTTTTGCATATCCAGATTTGAAGTGCTAAATGGTGGGGATAAAATGACATGGTACTAAGTTGTATGTGTTTTATGTTAACTTCTGGTACAGCACTGGCAAAAGATCAATGACTGGTATTCTCATTATTGGTTAAGGACATCATACTATTTAGTTTGACGATAGGTAATTGTCATAACTGACTATAGTACGCTTCCATGTATACAGAGTAACTCAGAAAAGAGAATCAGAGCAAGTCAAAAGAATATCCGTTTTCTTGTTAGATTTCAGTAAAATGCTTAACATTTTCACACACACATTTGTTAATTCCCCATATGTGTGTTCTCCAGTGACCTCTCTC